TTTCCGTCACGTCATATAGTACTTACCACATAACAACATATGAAGAAACCAAGCACTACACCAAATGCATACATGGAAAGAGGAACACAAATGATGGTGATCTGAACAACAAAAAAAAAGAAAATAATTAAATTTTTTCTTCCCACGAACGCCAAAGCCCAATAGTAGACAAAACACATTAACAAAATTGAGATCATTAGAGAAAAAACATAACTTTTCAAACAATACATTGACTTTTAAAGAGAACACAAAGACATTTCAGCAGTACTGAGAGATATTTCGGGTTGAGAAAGTAGGTTGTTTCTGATGGTAAGATGACTTCACCATGTCTTTAATGAATATTTAAATAAGTAAAATGATCTTACTTAACTGTAATGTAAAATTTCTTACCCAAACTATCATGATGGTCCAGAATGTGGAGCTGCGTTTTCCTACAAGGGATAAGACTGTAGGAAGACATGGCTGCACACACACACACACAGAGAATGTGTTAATAATGAATGGTTTAAATCTCTTGTTTTTTTGTCATTTTAAAGAAATTGAAAGCCTTTAAATGTTGTAAACTTAGGTACTATTTATTGAGAGTTTAACACTCACACAAAAAACTTCATCAACCCTGTATGTGTGTAGTTCGACCTCTTTTGATAGACAGGGGCCTGGTGACACCGACTGCCAGCAGATTCAATTATTACTAAATCCTGGTTGGTGCTGAGAAATACCTCAAATAACTAAACACTTGATTGTGTGACAGATGTGTCGAAGCACAGCACACTGTCTTGTTAACTGCTAGTATATATACAGGATGTTTTTGTAGAACTTCATCGGGAGATGAGGGTCGTGTCTTGAACCCAGTATGTATGCATACTGGAATGGAGGAGTTGAAATAGCCAAAAGTGCTATAACTTTGGCAGAAACGTTTGTGTTGATGTTGGACATCACTCATAGTAAAAAGCTGATTGAGAAAATAGGTTTTCAGGGCCTTTAATAAACAATTTGTTCTTGGTTGATTTAGAGCTGCATTTTACCTTTTCATAAACCAGGCTGCTTTGAACTCTCACCTGAAATAGAGAAGTTAAACATTATGTATCTGTTCCAAATGTAAATAATCTAAGAAATATGCATTCATATACAGTACATGAGTCACTTCTACACTACAGCTGTTTTATGTCTCACTTCACCTTGGATTTAAAACAAATAGCTGCTGTGCAGTTACTGTATGTGTCTCTTTAACAGGTTAATGACTCACACATCCGGAGCTGTTGTCCTCTCTGTCACACAAGCAAGAGTCTGGTAACGAGGACAACCAGTCTCGGTAGCCTCGGAGTCCGCAGCACTTAAACTGGAGCAAACACACACACACACCACCACAACCACACACACACCCACCACACAGCCAGAGGTCCAATGTTTAAATGTCATAACTGCAAGACTGTAAGTGATCAGTAGTTAGAGAACTTTCTTCTCTCTGTTTGGTGTTGAGCAAGTAGTGTACAGTGGGTTATTAGAGCTGTGGTTTTTGCCTTAAACCTTTTTTTCTTATCTAATCAGTATTAACTGACAACCTGACTATGTGATATATTTTATGGACATTTCATATTATAATTCAACTGTAAGACAGAACAGTGAACAATTGTGTAAAAGACGTGATTTGGATGATCTTGAGCGAATTATTTTCTGTTTTGGGATTTTTATACCAGATACTCTGTCTGTATTATGTTCTTTTTTAATCAATCATATAATAACTGCTTGTTTTTTCACATTTCGCACCATTCTTTGTGCCTTGCGCACTTGGCCATTGTTCTATTACACAATTACTTTTCTTCAACTGTGTTACTAATGTGGGCTATAGGCCCAGTGTATTTTTTGTTTCCTAAATTTCTTTAAAATCACAAGAAGGCTAAGCTTTGGCACCCCTAGTTGGGGGTGCGATTGCAGGGTTTGGACATTGCATTAGAGCACTTGGGAGCATGGAAGTGACAGAAGAGCTATTTCAGACCAGGCAGCTAAACCAATGAGCTGTCACATCACATTCACGTTGTCATTTATACATTGTTAATGATAATAGATTAAGTTGTTCCCTGTGATTTTACTCATAAAGGGCAACGTTCCTGTCTTACCTCAGCCTGCCAGTTATACAATTGTTCATTTATGAGCAGGTGGTTAGTCAGCTGCTTTTGTTTGTTTTCGCCTGTATCTGTCAGAGGAGCCAGA